CATGGTCATCTTAAGCATCGTTGTTCATGTTGTCTTTATTGTGTTTTTGCAAATGATACAAAAAGTTGCAATCTTTGAATACTTAATTATTAACATTGTTTTTACTTAGTTATTAATATTGCTTTTCCGTTAGAAATCGGATATTCTCTACTCAAAATGAACGACAAAATTGTGTGTCAAAAAAATTTAACACTATTATATGTTCAAAATTAAATTTAAATCCAAAATTTCTGGTCAAAAAAAAGAAATCTCTTATCATCACACACACACACACACACACATATATATATATATATATATATATATATATATATATATATATATATATATATATATATATATATATATATATATATATATATATATATATATATATATATATATATATATATATATATATATATATATATATATATATATATATATATATATATATATATATATATATATATATATATATATATATATATATATATATATATATATATATATATATATATATATATATATATATATATATATATATATATATATATATATAGCTATCGGTGTTATTATTAATTAAAATTTAATGATATAATGTCATCATGTTGGAATGCTTGAGTTGTTATGTTTTGTTCCTGGTTTTGACTTATTTTAATTAGATACGATAATTTACTCACAAAGTGTTAAGAAATGTTACTAGGAATCCATATCTTTCATAGCTTTTAAGTTTTTTTTACACAATTTCATGGCTTCTAATTAAGTTAAAACGCCATGTTAAACTCGTTCAACATTGAAATGGTTTTCTAACATTTCAACTATTTAATAAAATGTTAATCATTAATTATAAAAGTACTTGTAAAAAGTATTATATTTTGTTTTACCATATGGTATAAGTATTGTTTGAATGATAGTTTTTGTTTATATAAATTTGGAAATATGTTTTGAAATATTAATTATTTTTGTTTTGTTTTCTAAAAAGAACATTTAATCAAAAAAAAGTTTTACATACTAAAATACAATGATTTGAATAAGCCGACAAAACATCATAAGTTGAAATTGAGCTTAAAAAAGAGAGATGCTTTATTAAACAGATCTAAAATTGAATAACGATAATAAATAATAGTTTAAAGAAATCTAAAACAAAACATGCTCAAAAGAAATATGTAAGCAATTAAGCAAAACAATATCAGATTGCTAAGTAATATTTAAATAATATTTCATTCGTGAAAAAAAAATTCAGTTCTAAATATTATCTTAACTATATTAATCAATTTTATTGAATTCATCCTTGTTAATTCACTTATGATATATTCTTTAGAAATTCAGATATTTTATAAATTCATCCTTGCCCTTTTGATTAAATCGAAACAAATTAGTATCTGCTGTTTGAACACGGATTATGAGTTCTCCCCATGCTCTTTCAGTTTTCTCTCAAGCTCTATTATCCGAAGAATAGGAACGATGAACACAAAATGGGGTCATTCAAAATATCTAATTAACATAAGAATAAAAGTTTATAAAATATCAAAAAAAATAGAGTTATATGAAATGGATGAAAACCGAAAAACAAAAGTTTAACTCAAAATACAGATAATGAAAATGTAATGTAGAAGTAAGAATGATGATTATAGCTTCTTTGCCAACTTTGTCCATAGACTTTGCAATTAAGTTATCCGTTTCTCTCTCCCCATAAATCCTTCCAAAAAAATTTTTTTGCTTACTTGCTTCTTTCTTTTGAAATCAAAATCCCTAATAAAAAATAAATTAAAATATCGCAAATGAGAAGAAGCAAACATTTCTGAAATCATAACACCATAAATATTATTGTAAACTCTTTCTCGTAAGTTCTTTTCAAGATCTAAATAGATCTAAGATTTATCCAACTATGAATAAAACGAGAAGGAATGAAAGATTAGTTTATTTGTGGCTATGACTTTCTGCATTTGCTTCATCTTCCATTTCACAGTTAGTTATGGTCGTGTTAGGGTTTTGTGTGTGTGAGAGAGAGAGAACAAAAGCAAACGAGTGTGAAAATATGAGAGAAAATGTAGTAACATGTTATGCAATTTGACAATGAGATGGTTTTAATAGGTACTCCTTTTAGTAGTGTAATTATTTTAAATAAAAAGGGCAATTTAGGTAAAAACATTCAATTCTTTTTTGATGGGTAGATAGTAGATGCCCTTGAAAATCAAATGACCACATGTTGCCTATTGCATTTTCTATTGTGGAAGGTGAAATCAAGGATTCATGAACTTGGTTCCAAGAGTTGTTAATATATGACCTAGGAGGTACAAGATTATGCAAGACATACACATTCATCAGTGATCAACAAAAGATAATTTGTTATGGCTTTTGATTTTTATAAGTTAATTTTTATTTTTTGAGTAATTTCTAAACTAACTATATTTTATTGCAGGACTGTTACCAACTCTTGATGAATTGCTCCATAGAGTAAACCCAAGATTTTGTGTCAGTTATATTTTGTCACGTTAGTCCCCTAGATTTCTATAGTTTCAATATTGTCCTTTAACTATGATTTTATGCATTTCAAGGCATCTATACAACAACTTTAGGAAGAAATATCCAGGCATTAAACTCAAAGAACTCATGTGAAAAGCTGCTACAGTCAATTATGTGAATGCATTTGAAAAGGTCTTGCTTGAAATGAAGGTTGTTAATGAGAAGGCATTCAAGCATTTAATAAAGATTCCACCAAGGTTTTGGAGCAAGTTTAGGTTTAGGACCAATACTTTATGTAATACTCTGATGAACAACATGTAAGAGGCAGTCAACTTTGTTTTTATCATAGCTAGGGTCAAACCAATTGTAATAATGATTGAAGAAATCAGAGTGTATCTCATGTTGAGGTGGGAGTCAAACAAATAGAAAATTTCCAGATATGAAGGTGATATTCTACGAAATATCAAGAAAAGAATAGCCAAGTAATCAGAAAAAACAAACAATTGAATTGTGAGGTATTGAATGTTGACTTGCTTTGCATTTGAATTATGCTTTACATTTGGTTATGAAGCTGAATTGCTAAATTGTTATTGTGTTTTACACAAGCGTTTAGGTGAATTTGATTATGAGGTTAGACATATCTCATATAATGGAGTAAAGTATATTATAAGTTTGTTCACTAAGGAGTGCTTTTGTAAGAGATGGATGCTGACAGGATTGTCATGTTGTCATGCAATATCTTGAATGAAATCTCAACAATTGGAGATTGACAATTTTGTGCCTGATTGCTACAAAAAGAGTATGTTATAAGAAATGCTTATGTGGAAGAAAATAGAGTATGTTGATTTACAACCACCACAAATCAAAAGAAGAATAGGACTAGGGATGCATCAGAGAATATAAGAGATGAGGTAGAGCTAAAGCAAGCTAACTTTGAAATCAAGTGTAGTAGGTGCCACATGATAAGGCACAACAAAGTTACTTGCAAGTTGTCTGCACCAAGTCATTAACTCAGCCTGAACCAAGTCAACCTGAATCAAGTCAGCATGCACCAAGTCAGACAACTCAGCCTGAAGCAAGTCAGTCTGCACCAAGTCAGACAACCCAGCCTGAAACAACTTAAGTGTGATTTACTTGTCCACTATATTTTTGTACTAGTCTCCACGAACACAAAATGTCTGTGTAACTTAGACTTTTTGTATTAGTGTCAATGAACACTAAATTCGCTTTCTTGTATTAGTGTCAATGAACACAAAATTTGGTCTTTTGTATTAGTTCAATGAACACATATGTAACAAGGATCTTAATTTTGATTATGATAATGCAAACAACATTTTGTTATTTCCTAAATTTGGCTTTTGGTTGTGTTTAAGATGAACTGCAAACAACATTCTGGTTTTGATAAATAACGTGCAACAGGGATAATGTATTTACAGTTTGGTTAGAGCATCAAACCTAATCATCTAGATTTCAACATAGTCCCTTATGTATTACATTGTTTCAATCAAGTCTCTTATTTAATATGACAAACCACAATTTAGTCATTTTTCTGCAATTTTACAAACCACATTTTATAACACAACACATTTGTTATAGCATAAATGATAAAAGTGTTATTGTTATATTACAGACCACATTTACCATTGTTTTGATCAATCCATTTCATTTAACCAAAAGTGAAATTACATAGCTTCATAACATCAAATTACATATTGTTTTGAACACAACCCTATTTGAAATACATGGTTAAAAATACTAAATTAAACCCTAAACTAATAATGTCAAACACCATTGCAATTTTCAACAATCCTCTCATGCTCAAAACCTTATTTTTCAATTTGAATATTTTTTTCTTTTGCCTTTTAATCTTCAAATCCCTTGCATCAACAAATTCATCACCTACAAATAATACACTCTTCTTAGTACCAACAATCTCTCATCTTATTTTTTATGACAACATATTCAAATGACCCACAATTTTGATTGTTTGATTTTGAATAAGTGCTTAAATTCATTGACATCTTAGCAAAAATTCCAAAGATAATGGTTTGAATGAAGAAAATTTTTGAAATAATTCATTGACATCTTATAACATTAACATAATTCCTTGCTGAGTCACTAATGAATGTGAAGCCTTGCCGTCATTGCCTCATCAACCAAGTTAACATTTTTTCAACCAATTTAACGGAAAGATTAAATTGGCTTAACAGAACCATTATTAAGAGATTAAATTGTAATGTAAATTAAATAAGAGACTAAAATAAAATCTAAAATTAAGGGATTTCAGCACTAAATAAGAAAAATAATAATACCATGCTGATGATGGGACAAAAAGACACGTGAAAAGTGAACAAAGGCACCATAATATAAATTCAAGAGAATCGAACTATCTCTAAACTTTTGTTACACCTCAAGGGTAAAATTTCAAGAAAACCCTCTGCAGACACATGAATTTTGCATGCAACTAATTAAACAAGATACTATGCAAAAAAAGATGCACTTAGACAGTGCATTTTCTTTTCTCTATTTAGAACAAGTAACCAACCACTTTATCAACTCCTAAGTTCGATAACATTTAGATGCTCTACAAACAAGTCATTCCATGTATCTGTAATTCCAGGTAAACACCAGTGCATGCAATCATCATGCTTTTTTCCACCAGCAGAAGCAGGGTGAGCATCAGCCCTTAACTCACTCAAGTAAGTGATGTTCAAAATAACAAAACTCGATCTCTGAAGAGCCTTATTGAGGTGTTCGTTGACCAACCGAACCTCCACATTTGTCCCGTTGTTCTTCACAGAGAAAAGTTCTTCTACCTAAAGGGGCAATAAATTCTATGGTTAGCTTGCTCAACAATTTAGCAACAAAGAAACTATAGAACAATCACATTTACAAGAAGAATTGTGTTCGTCGCTCATAGATAACGGTTCTAGTCAAAGAAATACTTGAAAAAAAGATTAATAGCGAATTAGACTCACCTGTTCTGCCGATAAAGGTCGATCTCTTTGACAGGAACCACCTTGATCCCAGTCTCCTCCTTCAAAATGCCTGGGCGATTGAGTACGAAAAAATTTGACTGCACCTAGTCGTGCTTTTTCCTCCACATACGATATCTGTAAAGAAATCCCTTATATTAAAATATGCAGAAAGCAGACCAATGACCTATTAAAATATGCAGAAAGCAGATCAATGAGTCAATGACCAATCACATAAATACTTGAATTATATGTAATTTTTTTTTGTTTTGGAACAAGAATTATATGTAATTTCATAGCCAGCATTTGATGCATCAAATTTATATTTTGGGAGTATCATTAAATAATCATGGTCAGTTGAAGAGAGAAAAACTGCTATGTTTAATGATTTAATCTGAATACTGATGTTTCAGAATACTGATGTTCCAACCAATCTCATATTTATTTTACACCCCTGGCGTGTGCTGATTATTATTTTCATACATTGCAAGGAAACATTTATAATGAACCAAATGTACAAAATTCAGTAGATGCAAAAACTATCAGATCAATCAGCATGATACCTAGGTAATTGTTAATCTATCAAGTCTCAGGTAACCTTTAGAGCTGGTGGTAACATTTTATAAGTTCCAAGTAGTTCCTATTAAGAGAAATAAAAAGAAAAGACATTACCATGTGCTCTAAAACCATATCCAGGCCTTGTTCTGGACGTAATGGAGGGATTACTGGCTGACCATTCTTGAAAAAAAGCATGGGTGAATTCACAGGGTCGAATTTTGAAGGGGCCCACCACCTGTTAATATGACCCAGACAGAATAAGAAAAACCAAATAATGTTATTCTCGTAAATTTTCTAAAAATATTGCAACAAATCAGAGCATACTTCTAAAGTTTTCTTAAATTATTGAATGACAACTCTGACATCAGCTCAACTCAAATAAAGGAAAATAAAAAGCAAGCAGAACAATGAAAGAGATTATTTGCTTTGATTGAAATAAATAAGAACAATCAGCGGGATCAATGAAACTAGATAGGGATCGATATTTAGCCTATGGACCTTTAGGGTTTGTTTGATAGTTGGTTTCTGGAGGGGAGGGTTTTGGAGGTCTGCGTCTATATCTAGAAATGTGTTTGATATTTTTAAAAAGTTTAAAAAAACAATATACTACATTAGCATATAAAATCATATTGTTTTTTAAACTTATAAAAAATATCAAACACATTTCAAAATATAGACGCAACCCTCCAAGGCCTTTCCCTCCCAAACCCTACAAAAACCAACTCCCGAACAGACCCTTAACGAAACTCAAAAGTTCATGTAAACACAGACACAAGACATTCCAATCAAACACTCCAGTATTACCTACCAGTGCCCAGTGTTAAAAATTAGAATGTCGTGGAAATTTGCAGCTTGTGCCCATGTACTATCAGGAACATCAACATCTACTCTATAGCCCTCTTTGAATCCAAGTGTTTCTAAGGTACCGCCATTCTCACTAGCCGACCATCTGCAATCAAATCAAACAGAGGAAAAAGAACCACAACTAAGCTAACATTGTGTAACAAACAACACCATTGTATAGTCCAATAATAATAGTGCATAACATAAGAGAATGCAAACCATGAAATCTCCATAAATAGTAACAACTAGCAACTAAAAAAGATGCCTAGAAAGCCTACATATACAGCTGCTAACTCTAAATTGAATGTGGCTCCTATAAAGTTAGTAAAGTGTAAAGTGACAAATCAAGGATTTTCATCTCAACAAACTCATGATTTGTTATGATATACTTACAATATCCACCTTTGATTTGTTAATCAATGTTCTAAAATACTCAGTTTACTTTCTAAAGTGACTTCCTCGCATTAGAGTTTAGAGAGAGGAAGCCCTCTAAATCATATACATAGCAGAGAAATTCATAAAATGGATGAAAGTTCTGAAATATATAGTAACTAAAAGTATCATGCATACAACAGTCTTAAATTACTATTCGCAGCAACAATTGCAGCCGAAATATAAAGTTTGGGAGGACACCGAGAATTATATTTACAATTGCAACCACATGAATCAGAAATTCTCTGCATTGTCCACAATACATATATACATACTGGACGAAAATCACGAAATTGATGAAAGTTCTGCAATGACATACTCTAGTCACTATTATAAGCAAGATAATGCTTCAAATTTTGGTTACTATCATAAGAAAAAGTTAACTGCTTTTAAATTATTTAATTATATTACTCCTACTACCCCCTTCATTTAATTCAAAAACATTTAATGTGGGCCGTTAAGGAAGTTTTTCCATTAAATAACAAAAATAACAATTTGGTAAATTTGACTTATGTTCTGCTCAGAAAATGAATTTCATTTAACTGAATTTCTTAAGCATTGTGATAGTAGTTTTTTTTTTTACTTATAATAATGACCTCCGGATGTAGTAGTAACTAACAGCTACGTGAATACAACATAATTTTAAACTGTTGTTTGCAGACATGATTATAGCAGCAATGTGAGGGTTTAGGAGGCCCTTAATAATCACTGTGATTCGCATTTGTGACCCCATTAATCAGCAATTTCCACAACATCCATAATCACAATGAAATAGCAACTGGAAACCAAACATCAACTGAAAGAAATCTCACAAGTGAGTTAGCACAACCGCAAGCAATCTCGGATTAGCTTACCTACCATAACGTGCAAGAAGATTAGTACGGTGATAAGCAATAGTGAGATTGTAAGTCAGAAACGTGAATCCACGGTCAGCACCAGCAGGTCTCCACTTCTTAACCTGTCCATCAGAGATACTACTCCTAAGAGTGCAGAAAAGTGACACAAACATGTTCCTATTTAGTGAATCCCCAACAAAACCTGCATTACTGAAATGCATCCATTATCAAGAATACCAAAAATCACGCAACTTTGATTTTGATTTCAACCTACGAAACACAAATACAAACACACGGCACAAAATTGATACTAACACATAGACACCGATGATAAATTAAAAGGAGTATATCAATATCAACGTATTAGTTCTTGAAATTGTAAGGGTCGCTAATTTAGTCTCTCAATTAGCAAAACCAAGGTTTGTCAAATCGGAATCTTGCATAAGATCGAGAGGGGATGGTATGATCGTAAAATATAAGATCGCAACTAAGATCGGACGATCCTACTCAATTATGTTTGTAAGATCGAGAGGGGTAACAAGATTGCAAATTCAAAACATAAGATCGTAACAAAAATCATAAGATACTACTTAAATGGAAAATAATACTACATATTTGAAGTATTTCTACAAGATATTTTTGTAGGCAAGTGTATTCGTGGGAAAATGGACGCTGCCGAACCGAAATTGTTGCATCTTGTCATCCCTCTCGGTTTGTAATGGTGGTGGCTGGAAAATGGCCAATTGTGGTCAGAATTGGCCAATCGCACATAATCATTGGTTTAACCATTTTTTTTCACAATTTGACTACAACACACGATTCTACTTAAGATCTAGATCATTGGGGGTGATTGGGATCGTAAAATCGTAAGATTTAGATCGTAATTTTGATAACCATGTGCAAAATAACAATTTAGTACCTTAAATTGAATAATGTCAGTCGAATTTATTCTTTTCCAGATTTAACATCCAATGGAACTTATCATTTTGTAATATAAACCTATTTAGTAAATGACTTTTAAAAATAACTAACTAGTATATGTTTGATTTACTTTTTGGAAGCGCCAAAAGCAATTCTAGAGATGACGAATTGGTTTTGGAATGATTTAGAGATGTTTGGTTCTTCTAAATTAGAATTGATTCTGTCTACATAATTAATTCTACTTGCAACTAAAATTTTTTACTTTTGAGTGTAAGTGATTTTTAAATTGAAATTTACTCTTCAACTCAATTTCGCATAAATTCAGTCATAAATCCCTTTACATTCATCGGACATTTATCCAGAATCAATTCCCTCAAAATCAAAGCAATTGAATATAACCACATGAATCCATTCTACAGAGAATTCAACAAAGAGATAACACTAGAATCTCACCAATGCTGGTGTGTGTATGAGTCTGAAGAAACCGAAGAGGATCAAACTGATCAAGATCACCACATCCATTAGGTTTCCACCGCCACTTGGCAACTTCAACACCATTAGCTTTATTCCCCTTGACACAATTCCAACCCTTGAAAATCTCCTTACACGTACTATGGTATCTCGAAACCCTCGTCTCGTCGTAGATCCATATTCCGTCGGAGTAATCACACGAACCGCGGTGGCGGCTGTTGTCGATTTGGAAATTGTGAATTGAAGAGAAAGCTTTGATTGAAGAGGAGGAGGAGGATGAAGTGTTTCTGAATTGGGAGAGAAGGAAGAAGATTGAAGTGAAAGAGAGAAGAGAGAGAAGGGGAAATAGCGGGAGTTTTTTCTTTGGTTGATTCGGTTCTCTTGTGCTTGTTGCCATGCCAGTAATGTGAGTGATTTTTGATTGTGAAAGTGAATTTGCAGGTTCAGTTTAGAGTGAGGTTTGGTGAGACGATGTGATTCACCCTGAGATGAATAGCGTATGATTAATGTATCGGATGGGTGAAATTTAATGTAATGTAAGGGTGTATATTTCTAAGGACCAAAAGAAAAATTAAATATTTGTAAGGACTAAATCAAATATTAGAAATTTTAGCATTTTTGAGATAAAGTTCAATCTAAATAAATCTGATCGAATGTATTATAAACAAATATGTAAAATATTATTAAAAATATTTTATTTACATCAATTAATTTTTTATAATAATATAAAATTTTTAATTTTTTATAATAATATAAAATTTTTAATTTTTTATAATAATATAAAATTTTTAATTTTTTATAATAATATAAAATTTTTAATTTTTTTAATTTCTTGTCAAAAATGATGTTTCATTTTTTTTCTTAAAATTAAATATTTTATACCAATTCTATGATAATGATTATATAAATTATACAAATTAATTATAATTAACTCAGATAAACAAATTTGTGGATTTTAAAATTTTATTATTTAAATCAATTAACATCAAATTTTATTAATTTAATTTAGTTTTTTTTTTTAAATTAAAAAAAATATTCAAGCTAAAAACCATAATTTAATTTGAATTCGATTTTTAAATACAGCTCTACTCTGGAGCCTTATAAACACTTATTCCTTTATATCTATATTTTATCTACTTTTTAATTTTAGATATTTTTACGGTTTTGCTATGTTGACATTACAGATCTATGCTATAAAAAATTAAATATTTATATTATTTTCTTCTCTTCGTTTGGGACTAGATTTAACTATGCAATTTTTCTCCCCCATATTTTTTTACACTGTTATCACATTTTCTTCTTCATGTGTCATTCTCTCCCTCTTTTTTCCACCATTTGTCTTTGCATATTCAACTTTACTCAATCAAATTTTGAAAATAATTACAATATCAAGAAGAAAAAAATTCATTTGGCATCATTTTATATGCAATAAAGTTGAAGATTTACTTTGTAAGTTTTTATTCCATGATAGTTCATTCAATTATATCTATCTTTCTTCTTTTGAGTCATATTTTTAATTGCTTATAATAAAAAATAATAAAAAAAGGTTATAAAGATGTATTCATGTATAAGTGTTTATTAACCAATATATACATATAACTAATTTATTTTGTACATTTAATACTTTGAAATTTGATTAATCTATTTAATCAGATTATTTGTATTTTTATTTGATTATTTGGCATATGATACGCTTTTAATTAAATATATCATGAGTTGTATATGTATATGGTGTATGGTGGAGTGTAGTGAGAGTATTGAATTTGGATCATCTTCTTTTTTATATATTATGTCATCTCTCATGTTTCTAATCTAACAGTTCAGAATTTATAATGAATAATTAAATAAAAAAATAAAGACAAATTACTTATCCATTTCTCTCTCTTATTAAATGACTTTTTTATTTAATTATTCATTATAAATTCTGAACCGTTAGATTAGAAACATGAGAGATGACATGATATATATAAAAAAGGAGAGGATCCAAATCCGAGAGTATTGGTGGGTTAAAAGGATGATTAGAATAATTAAAAATGATTAGAATTAATTTTTTAATTAATTAATTAAAATAAATAAAAAATGGAGGTTTTAGGTGGAAAATAGAAATGAAGGAGAAAAAAATGGTGAGAATTATGAGAAGAGTTGGGCCAAAGTATAATTAGCAAAAGATTAAATTAGGTTTTTAGAGATAAAAGGGGTTAGTGGAGCTGTTGAGAAAAAAAATATATGTAAAGTTGGAGTTTTGGAGAAAGAGGAGGTTAGGGCTTGGAAAATAAGAACTCTAACCACCAACTTTAATCAATTCAAAATTGCTGCTAGGAATCTGAGGTAAGAAGGAAAAAAGGCTTATATATTTGTGTTTTGCATGAAAGGGTAGAGAAAATGGACTCTTACTTTCTTTAGGAATTGTGTGAAAATTATTCTAAATTGTTGTTGTTGTATGATAATCTGAAAATTGATAGTTAGATGGTTGTTATCTGATTTTCATGATTGAATTCGTGTATGTATGATTTTGTTTATGTGTATATGATTTTATGCTATTGTTAGAGTTTTTGAAGGTTTGAATATAAACATGAAATTCATGAAAATGATAATAAATTGTGCAAATTTGGGATTTATCATGTTATGATAGTGATATGGTACATGGTATAATTTTCTAGGCATGTTGGGATGAATGGGAGGCCAAATTTGGAGTTTCCATTGAAATTTCATGGGAACTCGCGTTTTTCTTTCTGGTGCAGGGTGACGGGGGTCACGTATATGATGGGCTACCCATCATGCACCTTAAGACGCTGACGAGCGTTAACGGTATGACAGGGAGATAGTTATGGTCTCCAGGCTTAGTTTTTCAAGTCAGTCGTCACTATAATGATGAGCTGCGAGTTTTAAGCAGGTGACAGGTATTTGTCATTCTATCAGAAAGGGTGTTTTTGTCCCTGTTGGTGTAGTTCGAGTTGTCTGTTTCAATTTTTGATGTGGTTCTGTTGTTTGAGTGATAAATGGTCATTATATGGTCGTGTTGGTGTTGTTAATTAATTATTATGATTTTATTAATTATGGTAGAATTATCGTTGTTGAATGATAATTAATTTATTTGCATGTTGATGTTTATGTGGTGTAGCAATTGTATGAGATGCATACGATGTTATTTTGTGTCGTTATATGATGAGAATATGATTAATATTATTGTGAAATGCATGATTATTTGGTGATTAATTATGTATTGTTGGTGTGATGATAAATGTTTAGAATGAGGAACTATTGGTATGCTTGTGTGCTTTGTTGTTATCATTGTTGGATAGTACTTCATGTAGCGGCAGGAAAAATTTGAGAACAAGTTATTGATTAACTTAACTCAGAAAAGGAAGAGTTGTGTTGAAGCGGTAAAGCAACAAGCAAAAAATATTAAGTACCCAGTTTTATCGTCTCCACAGGGATTAGTGTGATATGAACGTCGTTCAACGACCTCTACATTTCTAAGCTTATTGTTCAAAAGTTTTGGTTTAAAAGTTCTAGAAACCATAAATAAAAACAGAAATTATAAAATAAAGACTGAAATATAAATGGAGCCTTGTTGGGATTGGATTTCATCAATTGATAACATATGCATTCTTCTGATCAAGTTAAACACAACGCAATCATTCGTCTAATACCCTTACGTATCACCCACGACAAAGCTTATCTCTAACGCAGCGTCGAGAGAACAACCATGTTGTCTCATTGGTGATCTCTCATCCAACAAAAACACAACACGGAGCATTACGAACTGATACTTGCGCAAATGTTAAGCCTAAACCTATCTCTAGCATTTAGGACCTAACAGGTAATCATTCTAGATCCAGATCTGAAGAGTATATCTCTATTGCGGTTCAAATCAAAGATAAACAGGTAAATAAAGACAATACTCATATCGGATAAACGATTGTTTCATATAAAACACAATGATCAGAATACGTACACACGCTTAACCCTTTTTACATGTATTCACCTAATTTGCCAAATGGTTATGAACATCATTCTTCATCACTATTATCACATACCCACACAATATCATATTGATCCTACCCGTGCCACCCATGCTACTTAATCAACACAACACCATAGAAGATGCAATGAATATCAACTTCAAAACCATGTCAAAAGTTTGTTCATTGATAGAAGAAAATCTGAGATCAAAGATGTGAAAAGGTTTTGTCAAGACCCACAAATACATAATCAAAGATAATCAATCAATAGAGAATCCAAACTAGTTCACAAACATAAATTAGATGAAATACATAAGGTATCAAAAGATTACATCCAAACCCCAACAAGAGATCAAAGATCTTACCTCCTCCCTCTTAGGGTTTTGTGTTCCTCTCTCTAAAATAAATGAAGAGAGATAAGTTCTGATGTATCTAATGTTACAAAATGGAATTATGACCTAAAAAGCAAGAAAAACACTTAAATATTACATTAAGGATCTGTCATGTTCGCCTAGCGAACAGTAAGTTATGCACGTGAGGTGCCACTGAACAGTCAAACCGCCCCTGAGACATTTCTAGATACTCGCTAGTTGAGCAATTCCTTCGCCTAGCGAAGCCTTCGCTATGAGACTCGCCTAGAAAATTTATGCTCCTTTCGCCCCTGCCTCAAGTCTGGGAGTGTTCGCTAGAGCTTCGCTACCACTTCACCTAGCGAGCCCTTCGCTACATAGTTCGCCTAGCGAACTTCATGAAGTTTTAGAGTGAGCTTTGCTAGCAATTCCTTCGCTAGGCAAACTTGTTGTTGTTTGCATGCTGCCTTGGTTTCTTTGTCATATTTCTTGTGTCTTAATTTCCATATATTTTGTGCCTAATTCCTGCACAATAGCACACAAATCAAAGGTACCAAGAGATTTTTACAATATATTGCAAACCAAACAAAGCAAGAGTGGTTTTCAACACTTTCTTGACAAAAATGAGTGAAAGATGCCAACATTTGATAGATCAAATAAGTGAAATTTGGCATCTAACAAGTTGCCACTGAACTTTATTGTTTCCAAAGAGAAAAGAGAAAAGGTCAAATAAAACCCACAAAAATCTAAAAAGCTAAAAAGAGAGATCTGAATACGGGGGTTGGTTATGTAATGGGAAGGTATTAACACCCTCTCATTTGTGGTACTTCACATGAACCTTTTGCTTATCTATTTAAAAAATGCTATGTTGTTTGTTGATTGATTTTAAGTGAGAAGATATTTGGTCGTATTTGAGTAGAAAACATAACTTACTACCCACAAGTATGAAAAAATGACCATTTGCATCAATCTTGATATGGAGAACTTTACTTACTTTCTCACAAGTACATCTCAATATTCAAGTGGAAAATGTCAATCATTTCTCAACATCTTGTAAAAGTATAGTGGTTTGTGTCGCGGTA